AAAAAAAAAGAGAAGTGAGCAGTTGCTAAATAAAGAAATTTAAAGTTACAAAAAGCTTTAAGTGAAAAACTCATATTGTCCAGACAGTATATTCACATACCTGCAATGGACAACAACTGGTCCAGATGTTGGAATTTCAGAAACATATTGCAAAAATGATAGAAGTGGGAACACAGAATCTGGAACACCGTGATCTGGCCAAGTTGTAAAATGCAGTTGATGAACCTGACGTTCATGCTGAAAAAACCGTATCAGTGATTCTGTTCAAGTTTACTGCTGTTTCTATTTATCGTGTTTAACTTAGCTAGATTGAACGTGACTAATAAAATTCAATCTCGTTTGAAAAAAATTAAGTTTTTTTTAAATTGTTTGCTTTATTTTGAAATATTGTCAATAATCTTTCTTTGATTTACCATTGAACATTTGGTTGGTTTCAGGTTGAATAAACGATGAACGAAGTGCAAATTTGTTTTTTCAGAAATCAGTGAAATCATGAAATGACCGTGTACTTGAGCTGCATTCGACAAACTTGGCCAGTACTGATCACACTTACGCTAAAACAGTTGTAATCATCATCGGCATCACTGAAGCATCAAATTGTTTTGGTAAATTTTTCACCGTTTTATTTTAGCTGTCTACAAAATTTTGTTCATACCACATCAGCAAAAGCAATAACTGTTGTCTAATTACTATCTAGCAAAAAAAGCGTATAACTCTGTAACAAAAAAATTGTTGATTAACTGGTTGTTTATGCAGAATATTCTTTGTTGTTAAATTTTCATAATTTATTTCGTCTGATAAATGCGCAATACCAAGCTAAAAGTAATTTGGACTGCATTAGACTACAGAGTTTACAAAAGTAGCATCACTGAAATCAACAATTTTTACTTTTGGCTTGGTCTTTTTGCTAACTGTTCGCTACTCTACTGTATCCATATTACGCTCTTTAGTTTCTTTCAATCTTTTTAAAATTTCTTTTAAAATTTTATTTTTTGAAAGAAAGAAAAACGCAGCAATTATTAACTGGTTGACAAAATAATGATTGAACGTTAACAATATTTTTTTCTTAGTTTCTTGACAACAGTTAACGTTTTTTAAAAGTATTTAGCTACACCGACAGTTAGTTACATCCTTCGTTATGTAATCATAATTATCAGTTTGTTGTTGTTGTTGTTTTTAAAGACAAGAGAGAATTTTGAAGTTGAGTAGGATGGGTGGGTAGTTAGAGAAAGAAAAAACAATACCCGTCCATGTTCAACCAGATTTGTGATCATGACAATTACATTGGATTGTTCCTGCCAAATCATAGACCAAAAATCAGCAAATGTGTGCGGTAATGGTGCTTGAGTTGCTATATAAACATTATGCTTTTCACAGCTCTGAAAGCAAAAGCAATCAGTGACCAAACAAAAGCTGTTGTATGTCGTCGAACACAGAGCTGTCTAAATAATATATTGACATTTAAAAAACAGTCTTTTTTTTTGCTGAACATCTCACATTTTCAGGTGAAATTTCTGTGTAATTATTACAGTAAAATAAGAAAAATTTGTTTAGGAAAAAACTTTGACATCTTAAGGTGTCATAGAGCAGAAGGAAAAAGCAAGAAGTTTTTTTAGCACAAGCAACATATTGAATAAAAATTGGTAATGTATGCGTTGTTATGCGTAGTGTTTTTGTTGTTGATTGAGTATAAATACGTAGAATGCAATTTTCAACACCTGTACTACTGTTCTGCTTTTAAAAGCAGTCATAAGTAACCACCCTGTTTATCACCTAAGAGCTTCAGTTCTAAGTTTGAACATAGTTTACTAACCTCAGAGATGTAGACTGGTTTATTTTTCTTGAGTTATTATTGTTTATAGAAAAGTCATTTGTCTATTCTTATGCAAAGACTGTTTTTTTTTACTCTCTTTACTGCTGTTACTAATGTCATTGCTGTTTCTTCATTAGTTGTTTCTCAGTACTAATCAATAGCATCGTAAATTTAGGGACCAATAATTGTTAAAACAAAGAAAAAAAGTCAAGGAATAAATGTAACAAAAAAAGTGATAAAAAGTAATTGTCTACAAAGATATTTATAATTAAAAAACTGACGTCGACATAGTTGGCGTTAATGTAATCTGATGATTCCGCAGCAATTATTTTGATACGTGTCGGTTCATAAGCACAAACATCCAAATACCGATCTTTGGACTGATGAATACCATTTCCATAACCATTTTCTAAGGTTGAATCTTTTTCAATGTTCTAAAAAAATCGCATGCATCCAAAATCCATAAACGTATTTAATACCGAAAAGAAAAGTCTAAAACAACCAAACAAATAGAGGCATTTAAAGAGACAACTATAGAGAAAAAAATTGCACTGTTCTGTCTTCTACAGTCCCATACAACAGCAGTGATTTGTAGTTTTTGCTGTAGTGTTACTTAACTTAATTATGAAATCAGTTTCGAGATTAAGATCATTTTTTTTGTTGGTTTTTTTTCCCCTCTTCTTCTAAGATTCTGTTCCTATGATGTTCAACAAAAGTATTCCAACTTCTATTCAGATGTGACAGCAAAATTCACTGATTATTACACGATGATAACCCATAGACTATGTCAGATTACGATGTCGTTGATAATGATGTTAATAAATTTTTTTTGCATATACAGAGCAATAAAATGGTAATACACTACCTCAAAATGTTGCTTAAATCCTTGATTATCGTTTCTGCTTAGTTCTTGACAATAAGCATCAAATTCATCAACATTTATTGTACGGCCGTAGTTTCGATCTGTATAACAACAAATAGATTTGCCTTCAAAAGAAAAAAGAAATCAACAAAGCGTTTTAGCTGCTGTAAAGAAAAGAAGCAAAAGGAAAAAAAATGCAGTAAAACAGTGTCAATGAATCAAACAGATTCAGAGTGACGACCATCGTTTGAAACAGACCATAAGTCAACGATGCTGTTTCATCAGCGTGAAGTTTTCTGGTTCTCACTCGTTTCTTTTTTGCTAATAAGAAATGCCTGAAAAAAAGAAAGACAATTAATTAAAGATTCCAAACTAAATTTTTATGTACGCTATGTAAACGTTCTCTACGTTAACAACTGTTACTTCAAGTTTTATCCCAGAGCAAAATTATTAGATTTATTTTGATCATTTTGCTGTGCACAATTACGTTTGGAGAGTTAAATGATGTTAAATTAGATGTTAAATGAAAAACATCAGATGATAAACCTTTTAATTAGGATAAAGGCTACAACAGATAGAATAACTGGGAATAGTACTGCTGTAATCACCAAAAAATTTGTTGGTATTGAAATATCTGTGGTTATGGCCAACCGTTTACATCGGGATGATGCACAGAGGGAAGAATGCAATAGACAATCATCTAAAAATTGTCAACACTGTTGAACTAAAACTGTTTTAGGCTTCTTAAAACCTACTGCTATTAAACGTCTATCTTTGTTGTTGACATCTGGCAGATGCTTTTTTGGCTTAAACTCTTACACAATAGCAAAATTTCAACTGAATTGCTTTTTGAAAAAGAAAAAATTTTTTTAATACTTCTTTTTTTTTTTTATAATTTCAAACAATTTTATTTGTAGTCACCTTTATTTGACTAAGGGATTATATCAAAATTGGTACTGATAGATCTGTTGACTGATTTGTAGAAACAATGAATGACAAACAGCACTTACCGTCCAACATAAACATCTCTGTTTTTGACCAATAACTTTCTAAAGTACCATTGGTAATAACGCTGTTAACAGCAGCCAAAATTTTTACTGAATAACCGTAATGAACCTCCAAATTTGTTAAATTGGCCTAAATATTTGTAAAAACTTATTGGTTTTAAAAAGGTCTAAGTTGTTTTTTTTTCTTCTTAATCGCTTTTAATGTTTCAAAAAAAAAAATTTTTTTTCAAATTACTACTAATCGGTATACAGATTTATCATTATCACAACCATTCTCATCACTGTTATCATACATTTGTAGTCGATGTATTCAACGATTTTGATGTGGGTCCTTGTAACCACAGATGATAGTATTGTCCGGGACTTTCACCTGGTTTCCAAATAACAGTTACTGTATTTTGACAATCCAACGACAAATTTGTTATGCTTGGTATCGATGGAACTGCATAATAAACCAATTAAGAAGAAAAAATAGCAAAAAAAAGTTAAGAAAGCTAGAAAAAATAGACAGAAAAGAAAAGAATTAGTCATTTTTACACATGAATATATTTATATATATTTATTTATTTTTCCTCTTTTCTTTTTTTTTTTTTGATGGAATATACTTATTGCATGAAATGAATCATTCAACAACGGGGCAACAACTGATGAAAAAAGCCGATAAAGATGAAGTGCACAAAATTTCTACAATCTTTATATCACGAATGTTAAGCTCTGTATTATTTATGCTATTATAAATCAGCTTTAAATACGATAATAGCAGCAGCAATAGTAGCAGCATCAATAGTAGTTCTATCTTAAATGCTTTTCTTAAATTCTTCAACAATTCTCATATTTGGTAAGCAGAGCAGCAACTGCCACAACAGATGAGAAATAGAATATAAGTGTAAAAAAAAAAAGAAAAGTTGCTAACCATCTGAAAGAACGACTAAAATTTACCAACCAACCAACCTCGATGATCTGTAACAGCGTTCACTTCTTTGCTTTGTTCACTTTCACCTTTGACTGTCAGTGCAGATACTCGAAACGAATACGTTTTAAATGGTTCTGAAAGCAGAAACATCAACTAAAACAACCAGACAATTGAGTTTATAATCTTGCTAGCTTTCCTCTATTTATTTAAAAAGAATTGACTGTGTTTGCAATAAAATTCAAAAGTTTTTAATCAGTAATTATGTTGCCGAACAAAAAGCTAAAAATAATTGTGAAGACTGTCTAAAAAAATTGGAAAAATTATTGCAAAAAAATAAACAAATAAGTAAACAAATAAATAAATGAGATAAAGTACTAAGAACACCAAAAGTATATTCAAATATAAAACCGAAAAAAAAGTGTCATTTCACAATTTTAGTGATAAAAAGCCTATTTTGCACTCAGTATCCTTTTTAATTTGTTTTTTTTCTGCTATCACTGTAATAGCCCGAAATTCAAAGATAAACGATAAAAAAATAAAACAATAAATCTATTTAGCGCTTTATAGTTGCCAAAAAGAAAGGAGAACGTAACAGAAGGTAAGAAATGCCAAATATTTCAGTCAATGAGAAAAAAATTATTGAAAATAACGACTATTTTACTGCCGAATGAACACTATTGAAAGCACTATTAGAATCGCATCAATGTAATTGCTTGCTGATTTATTATCGTTATAAAAATAAATAAAAAATGTTTTTTTTTTATAAAAAGGTAAAAGCAGAATCATCGAAACCTTTTTTTTTTTCTGCTAATGTTTTGAAGACTCATACGAATAGTTGTTCATTAAAACTAAGAACCATTTGTTGTATATCGTAGCACTTAATGTCAGTAAGTAACAAGTTAAACTGCAAAGAACAAAAAAGAAGCCAAACCGAGATCTGTAACGTTGTAGGTATATCGATTCCGGAAGATGCCTTTTGTATAGATGACAAGCGACTTAATTTCAGCAATATCTGGTCGTCGTATAAAAATTCGATATGAAGTAATAATTCCATTTGGTCTTTCCGGTTGGGCCCATTTCAGCTCGACAGTCGATGACGATAACGCTCGTGCTCGAACATCTTCTGGTGGCCCATCCGGAACTGAACAATTAATTGTCGTGCATGCATTAAAAAAAATTAAGACTTGAGTAAAAAAATCCAATAAAATAAAGTTTAAGTGCTTTAATAAGCAATGACAAACGGTAAAACACACTTACTAGATTGATCAGTACGAAATGTTGCAGAAGCCGGTGGAGAATAACCAAATCCGTTGTCAGCTTCTATTTTTAGCTCAAACAACGAATTATATGGCAAATAACATATGGTATAATCATTTTCCTGTAAACGCTGATTAAAGATAAAATTACATTAAATATGTTTAAAAAAAAGTGAATAAAGTCAACTATTTTTTCTTCAACAAAGAGAATTTTTAGTACATTTATATCTATTTTTGTTGCGAATAGATACCGCACACTGTAACTAGATGTGAAAATTTTTTTCTTGAATTTATACACTATACTGACATTAAATTATATTTTATTTTGAACCTATTTAAATTGTTCAGTTCTGTACATATAATTTATAAAAGGTATTTGCAACAGTGTTTACCTTTGTATGAAATTCTCGTTTTGTATCGGAATCAAAATAACGAACAGTAACTTTATAATTTAACGCTGTTAATTTTGGAGATTTTGGAGGAGACCACAAAGTTTCAATACACCCGTCTGTTGTGTTACTAATACCCGTAATCCTCGGTGGTTCCTTTAAAGCTGAAATACAGATCACCGACAAGTTAATCAGTTCTGAATGTTGTTGTTGTATCGATGTTTTATGAAGTCAAGAAAAAGAACTTTAAATGATTAATTGATAAACAACCGTTTCATTTAAATCCATAAAAAGTACAAAAGCAGATCTATAAAAACAAAGACCTTCTCCTAAGGTACGCTGAATTATTGGTAAACTAATATCGCTGATACCAGCAGCATTTTCGGCAGAAATACTAAACGAATATTGCGTAAATGATGAAAGACCGGAAATAAGTGCTGTTGTAACGTTGTCAACTAAGATAACTTTTCGTACTGAACCGTCGTCAAGTCTCCTGCAAAGAAAGTAAAGAAAAAAAGCAAGAAAAAAAGCTTAAAAGAATCCTGCTATTTCACATATTTCTTATTTTTAAAAAGTCCTTCTCTTTTCTGTACTTATTTTATCAAAAAAACATCTTTTTTTACAATTTTTGAAACATTTACTCAGAAAAAAGCAGTAAAACTAATAGTCAAATTTTGTTATCACATATTAAAAATAAATATTTATAAGGTAAACAGCTGACTTAATCAAACGAATCATTAGAAAGTGACACTAACAGTGCTTCAAAGCCATTCTTACTAAACTTTTTTTGCAGTTTTTATTACATATTAAAATCTTAAAACTTTCTGATAAAAAAATGAAAAACAAACAACGAATAGCGATAAAACTGTGCAAGAAAAGGTTTTGTTTTCTGCTGTTACCTAATGTAAACGGTATTTTGTAGAATTGGCAGTTGTGAACGTGAAGCATTCTGCTTCCATTTCAGTGTCACCGAATGATCGGTTACGGCGCCGATTTCTAATTGTCTTGGAACAGATGGTCGAACTGAAAAATGAGCCAAAACAGAACTAAAAGTAAGCGCAAATAGACAGCGGAAAGTATTGAGCACCTCCTCTTCCATTTGAACAATCATTTTTAGTTGAAACTTTGATCAGTTGGTATCATCTATAAGTGTAATGCCAAAGAAGTAAACTATGAAAAGTTAAACGGCGGAGACTATGAGGGAGAAAAATTTGGGATATTTGTTGCCCGTTATAAATGCATCTTTATGAGCAGTTTTTTTCTTTGTCGCTTTGGTTTTTTGAAAGAAAAACTTATTGTTTTGCTTCCATATTTTTATTTTGTCCATCAATTACCATTGAAGCCTTTATTATTATTTTTATTTTTCCACTTTTGTTTTTAAGTGGGGAAAGTTTCGAAACAGAAAGAAAAACTAAGTTTTTTATATTGTTGTTATTTCATTTTTTCCACTGGTATTCGCTGTTCGCACACCGTACATATTACGTTTACCAAGATATTACAAATTCACGTAGGTACATACAAATATTTATTTGTACTTATATATTGGCCTCTACTGTTGTTTCTTAAAATAACCAATTACTAAAAGCAATAATGAAGTGTTTTTTGGCATGGTTAAATTCTATTTTCCTTAAAGTCTCTTTGACAATGTAGAAAGTAACGATGAAGGCGATGACAACGGTGACAGCGACGAAAATCTACCGTACTGACAAATACCGCAGAAGTTTAAGAAAATGCTTCTTAACTTTTTAAAACTAGACTCTCATCAGTAAATTTTGATTGTTTTCTTATTAAATCTTTTTCAGGCAAATTATTTTGTTA